GTTCGTCTTCGGAACACAATTTAAGATATTTTGGATGAAAACCAGGAGACTTGTGACTGTCCCATAGACTGCCAAGTAAATTACACTGTCAAGGTCCAGAAAAGTATGAAAAGCATTGTCAGAATAGTCCATCTGCCATCAGTGGTTCAACCGTAACGTTATGAAGCGACGAGAATACTTTTTGTACGCGAAGAAAACAAAAATAACGACTTTATTCAACAACCGCTGAACGCAAACTGCGTACGCTATTCTCTGTCAGCCGTGACACGAGCATACGTTTTCTACGTGTGTTTACGCTTTGATTTGAACGAAAATAGCGCATCCGTGCAGCGCGGCTGACACAGAAGAGAGTAAATTGTTGAATGTTATTTTTGTTTTCTTCGCGTAAAAAAGTATTCTCGTCGCTTCATAACGTTACGGTTGGACCACTGATGGCAGATGGACTATTCTGACGATGTCTTTCATACTTTTCTGGACCTTGACAGTGTGCAGACAGAATGCATGCATGACAGATCAATCTTTTTTCCATCATGTTTGGACTTGCGTTCGTTAAAATGAGTTCATAACATTGCCAAAGGTGTTCTGGATGTGGTTTGGAAAGTGAGAAATGCACCGGTAAAACTTGAGTGACACTTTTCTAACTTTGTGTTTGGACTATGCAAATAAGTTCCACAGAAGGAAAGAAGGGTGGGCCACACCGTGCTCCCCTGTTCTGATGGAAACAGCCATTCACAGCACAGAAATGGAGAAGCACCAAATTGCAGTCTCCTCCTCATCGGAAAGGGAACCCTTTCAAAGGTACCCTTCCAAAAGGCACTCCTTGTTCTGAATTTCCATCCAGAGAGACAATAGCAGATCACCAACCTGTCTCCGAGTCTCCGGCCTGCATGGTAGGAGATAGAAACAGATCAACAAAGTTCTGAGTCTCAGTCCTGTAAGGGGAGAGACACTAACAGACACAACCCTGTTCTGAGCCTGTGACCCATTACAGGGAAGGCAGCAACAGACACATTCGTTCTGAGTCTCCGGCACATCCAGTGAGACACTTAACAGATACATTCAACATTCTGAGAAGAAAAAGATACTCTACGTTCAGAGTCTTCGTCCAGTGAGACAACAACAGATGCAGCACATCCTGAGTCTCCATCCTAGAGAGACAAAGCGGATTGACCAAGTTCTGAGTCTCTAGCCCAGAGAGGCAGAAGACATACAGATATTTGCAAAAAGTTTAAGCTCCGGCGAGCATCCTTCACGTCAAGGTACTTTCGTCTGCGTGTTCCAGGCTAAGGACCTTCTGCACCTACTCCAAGGCCACATCTGCGTTCCAGATTTTAGGACCCTTTGGTGCTCCATGAGATCAGAAGAAGAAATCACAGCTACCGGTGATGCTCACTGGAACACAGAGAACGTAAATATCACTTATCCAAACCTCTTCCAGAGACCATGGCATTATTGCATATTATATGTTTATGATATTCTAATTTACATTAGATGTTATATAGCTGATCGATTAAGAACAAATAATCTTTAAATTATTTGTTTGAGGCACAATAAGTGTCACGGTGTCTGACATTACTCCCCCCTCCCAGAAGGCGTGTCCTCACGCCACCAAAACATCCAATGGGGAGGGGGGGTGGGCGCTCTGGAGGGAAACACCTGGGAACAATGAACTTGAAAACACGAGACAGAGAAACTGGAAGACGGAGCACATAGGGAGCAAAGACACACACAAAACCTGGCCCAGAG